AATAAACTTCAAAGGAAATAATAAAAACTATAAACTTGACAAAGAAAGAAACAAGTTAGTACAGAAATCACATTATCACACGTAATAGGTAGATATTGGTAAAGCGGTAAGTTGTTGCAACACAGGAAATACACATCTTGTTTCCATTGGCATCATTCAATACAATAGAAAAACACTAATCGGAATGCATTCGTTGGTCCTATTTGAGCTATAGGAGCTAATATATCTATCATACCAAGTAAAACGCAGCACAACATGGTTGAGGGAACAAATAATGACGACGGATGGCAAGAAGATGCAGTGATTCTTGGACAAATACAAAAAAGTAAAAACCAGCATGAGACGGTCATGAAGAATAATCTGGTTACGTACGTTAAGGAGAGATTTTTCAAGTACACGAAGTTTCCTGTTGAAGATGAAGTTTAAGATGCCATCATAGAGGTCAACCTCGAAACTACGTTCGGTACGRACCCGGTTCCAGATAGCTTGGAGGTCAGTGCGGCAAGGTGGGGAGGGACTATCAACGGKGCTATCACTGCTTGCAGACACAACGCGCAGACATTGGCAAGGAAAAATTACAAGGGTAAGTACATGCAGGTTGCCAGACAAAATTAAAGTTTTTGTGACTCACGATGAACGATCGTTGTTTGTTAAGAACAGAAGACAAAAAAACAATAACGTACCAGACACGTTCGGCGGCAATTGCTTCATATCAGAAGGAGATGAAGGAGAGACGTACGTCCTGAGAAGTAGCTACAGACDAGAAAATAGTCCGGAATTCAAGTACTTTGTAACAAGGATTTTAGGGGCAGTGTCCCCTAAACAAACGGAATTCAAGCGAAGGCGACACAAGGATAAACTGAGCTCCATTTTTACCGCCACGGACGAAGCCTTTGCATTGCTGTTTTTGTACAATGACTACGAATCATGGAATAATTCAGGGAGCGGAAAGAAAACCAGAAAACATTTCACCGATAGTAGAATAGGTAACAAAGAAGGCTGGAGCTACGAGGGACGTATGCTGTTTGGGAAGTTAGTAGAAGAGGTAAAGAAGCGTAGAGGGGAAGAGGCTTCAGCGGAGATTGAACAAGAACTAAGGGCAGCATACAGAAGAGAAAACAGAGATGACAGGGAGGATAGAATTAATAAAAAAAGAAAGTTGCGCGAAATGGAGAAAAATTTCGATCAGAAAAAATACTGGGAGGACAATGATGACTTAAATGAGCTGAAGTCAAAGATACGGGCTGTACGAGAACCCCGGCATTAGTAATCATAACGAAACATAGTGGATACGAAAATAATGACAATAGCAGCATGAAACATTTAGAAATTAATCCTTTGCTGTTACATAGTAAAATAGCTTCATTGTAAAATAAATTTGTCGACAGCAATAGAGAAATTGTCGCTGAGCTCCGAAGAGTTGGCATAAGGAAAGAGGAATTGAAAACCGACCTGCAGAATTGATGAAGTAGAAAAAATATTTTCGTGACGACACATGGTACTTTTTGAATGATTGAGATACTTTTTGAACGGTTGAGACAATTCGTCTCCGAATACGATAATATTTTCCATGAAAAAGAATTAATTTTGAGCATGAGAAAGGGCATCGAACTCCACATGAGAAATGAGTGGTACSAGAACATGTTCCAAGGAAAACGACCAGATCACAAAATACATGCGCAAATTTTATTTTATGTACCCAGGAAAAACAACGTACCATAGTACCGGTTTGTGTGACGTAGTACTACTAGTATGGGATCTGATACTAGTAGCTTCCAGTATGTGGAATGCAATGGAATTACTCTGTTTCCTATTGTCCCTACTGGAAGGCCCACTTTATACACTAGCTACTAGTAGTACCAGTAGGAATTGAGTCTTCTTTACCAGTAGTAGTATTTAGTATTACTTATTACTGTTATGTCCATTGTACTAGTAGTAGTAGCTGTCCACCCCTGAGAAACGCTGGTCTGTCTGTCTGCCTGCCTGCCATTATCGGTAGATGGTTTCTCAGATTCGTCGGATTTTAAACCTGAAGAACGACCGAGTAGGTATTAAAAATAAAAAATACTGTGCTAACCCTATTCGCAACCGTACGAGTACAAGTAAAGTGCCGCTGATACGAGGTATGTACGCAGGGTACTCATGTAGTTTCCACTAGGTTGTTTCTGTTCCTATTTTTCCGAGCCATGATTGTTGCCTTCTGGATTGCTTGACGTTGAAAAAATCGATTTTGCCATTGTCGTGGTGTGCGTACATGTTGCCAATCAAAAAAATCAACATCATTACAGGAAGCGCATCACCTCCACCACCGGCAACGAGAAAGAAGTAGGGAAAAAGTAGAGGGCGAGGGAAAGGGAAAGGGTTACAGAGCATAATGAGAATCGAGTACGTTTTCATTTTCATCGTCCTTCGGATGACGACATCCTTCTTTGTTCCATATACTTTTCAGAAATGTGCTCCGAATACAAAGCATGTGAACGGAATCCCTCCGACTGCTCTTTGGATGGATAGGGTAGATGATAACGGGGAAAGCGCACTGAAATCATTGGATTGTTTCGTATCGGCGGTAGAAACGATGAACAAGAATTTCCGCTCAATGGATGATTCTCGTGATACTTTCCAAGTTATCTCTCGCGGTTTAAGCGATCTCCCATCTTGCGAGAAAGTCAAAACCAAGGTCTTTTATGATCCATCCAGTATGGAAGTCTTCATTGCCACGGTGCAAGACAGCTCCGAAATCAGAATCTCAAAGATTCGTTTTCTCTGTTCCAACAACAATCTGGTCCCGGCACCCGCCGATGTGGTGCAGAATCTCTGTGGTTTTCCGGTTGACACATTGCCGCCACTCGGCCATTGTCTAGCTCCTAAAGTATCGTCGTGTACGATTGCTTTCGACGAACGATTAATTAACGATTGCCAGGAACTCAAGCTCCTTATGATGGGTAGCGCAGGTCATCCTTATTGGAAGTCCCTGCTAGCGGCAGAGTTAGTTGTCCGACTGCAAGAAATTGGTGAGGTGATGATAGCTGGTGGTATTACATACGATGACAACCGACACGAAGGAAGCGACAAAAGAGTTTGGGAAGTTTCATCGAGCGACAAAGATGAAAAGAAAATTCCTACTACTCCGAGTAGAACGCCGTCAAACTCTCTTGATCCGTTTTACCCGAAGCCTTATTTTCCTATTGACGGCCCATCCCTCAATATAGCACGACTTGTCATTCGACAGAAAGAGATTTCGAATCCGTTGACTCCTGTCTTCCTGACAGTCATGGGCAGAATAGGAACCATTAACGTGAGGACAAAACGATCTCTGAGGTGCGAATTCTTGCCAACTGTGAGAGAAATGTCTAGAAACGACGAGACCAACGACAACGAAGTCTCCCACCCGTGGAGGTCTGCTGTATCCGGCAAAGATATGGCGGTCGATCTGATCTTTGGCAAGTTTTTTCTACAATCGTATGGGACAAAGCTAGGAGAGGCGTTGATCGAGGAAGTCCAAGAAGGCCAACTGGTACAGATCGAAGCCAAAACAAACCCGGGGCAGCGAGAGTCTATAGAGAAATGGATCGACACCAATTGTTTGGAGCTGGTCCCGATGAATTGCCAACTTTTATCTTGCGGTTCGCGTTCGTACGGCGATTCTTTCGACAAAGGAGGATTGCAAACTGGTAGAAAGCCGAAAAAGACGGGGTCCTCTTCTTCGTTACCGACTCTCACGCTCAGCGACATATACCAAGGCAACTCGTCCATAAAGTTTGTTGATGACGCTCGCTCCATCTCTGAATTTTCCAGCGATATCGCCAAGCTTCTCTCGGAAGTGGGCGATCGGCCCTCTCTATCGCCCTACGTTGGAATCGATTGCGAATGGCAACCCCGTGAATTCATGGAAGACAAAAAACAGCCCCAACCGGTGTTGTTGCTGCAGGTTAGTTTGCACGCACTCGAAAGGGTGTACATCCTGGATCTACAAGCCTTGCTGCGGCCACTCGAGGAGAGCGATACACCCTTCAATCAGCTAGAAGGGGAGCTTTCGGAGTGCTTGTCGAAGCTGATGAAGTCGAACCGGTTCATCAAGGTCGGATACCAGCTCTCCTCGGATCTGCGAAGGATTTTTGCGAGCTACCCCCATCTTCCTTGCTTCCAAGAAGTTCACTCGATTCTCGAAATCTCGTCTTTCATAAAGAGAGTCCTTCGCATATCCAAGCAAAAGAAAAGTCGTTATATCACCATGTCCCTTGCAGCCATGACATCTCATTATCTTGGCATGGCACTGGACAAGGAACACCGTGAGTATAATGCTGCCACCGTTCTTGATTAAAAAAGGAAATTCCTCGGAGAAAACCCCCGTCTGTCTCGGCTCCAAAACCCGCTGGCACTCACCGTTCCACCCGCCGTTTTCCCTTCTTGTCGCTTTTGGCGTGCGCACCAACGCAACCAACCCCACAGAAATGACCGATTGGGCGGTCCGGGACCTGACGCCGAGGCAGCTCGAGTACGCGGCGCTGGATGCCGCGGTCCCACCCCGGCTGCTGGAGGAGGCGCTGGAATCGATCGGTGCCTCGTTCTCGGACGAAGGACCCCGCGGCACCGAGGTGTCGAGCTGCCCGGTCCCCCGGAGGCACGAGGGCGACGCCGCCCTGGAGGGCGAGGTCGCCTCGGTGCGGTTCCACCGGCTCTCGGGGGACACCGACGAGGAGACCGCCGGCGAGCTGGGGGCGAAGCGGATCGTCGGGCCGTCGTGGATCCTTTCCTCGGTCTGGAAGGCCGTCGAGGCCCCGCCGCCGCCGCTCGTGGTCCCCTCGTCCTCCCGGCGCTAGGAGGGGCGGCGCGCCACGCCACGGTACAGTGCTGAGTGCCATACAGACCCAACGCCTCGAACCATCGCGGCACCGGGCAATCCCCGCGGCTTCCCGCCCCCGCGTCTCGGCGTCCAACACGAGCCCACGCGCTAGCTACTACTGTGCTTCTACAAAAGAATCCAACAACTGAGAATACTGCGTACTACTATTTTTTTATCAAATTTGGCGGATTGCGTCGTGCATGATCTCGAAGCAACCCACGGCTGGAGCGACGGGGTTTGCACCAAGTTCTGTGCCCGTGGCGCAGCCGAGGTTCAAAACGAACCGGACCGGACCGAACCGAACCGCGTCGGTATTGTAATAAGTACTCTTGTAAATTCCTGGCGTTTGTGTCCGTGTCCTTGTCGGCTATTGTGTGTGTGTGTGTGCGTCTCGCCGCTCCCGCGAGCCATACGACCGGAATCTAGTCGCCCAACGAAACCAGCCGTGCCCGGTGCTTCCAAAAGTTACCAGGACAGGGGTGGAGGGATGCAGCGATGGAAGGAGTTGCAGGGTGATGGATTGATTGATTGGGTGCCGTCACCGCCCGCTGCTGCTCCCGCCACCGGCCTCCCTCCCGAGGGTCGTCCAGGTGTCTCCAAAGAGCTGCCCCATGTACTGGACCCTCGTCTGGCTGAGCTTGCCCTGCCGGAGGGCCTGCTGCTGCGCTCTGATCCAGTCGGTCGTTTTGGTGTCGGCCAGGACGTCCTCGCCGGAGGCCGCCCGCTCCGAGAGCTCCCGGTACTTCAGCATGAACTTGGAGCCGCACTTGCGGGTCGAGACCCAGGCAAAGCCCAGGTCGCAGAGGCGGCGCTCGTGGTCCGGGTGGACGCCCTCCCGGCCGAGGCGGCGGATCCCCGTGACCCAGGCCCCGAGCTCCGGGTCCTCGGGGCACTTCTTGGGGACCTGGAAGTTGTTTCCCGGCCGGGCCTCCTCGTAGGCCATGAGACGGGCCAGCATCTCGCCAAAGTCCGCGAACCGGTAGACGTCCTCGATGGAATGGAAGCGAAAGCCGATCCCCTCGAGCCAGGCGACCTCCGCCCCGTTCAGCTTCTTCTGGTTGTGGAGCCGCCGGAGGACCTCGCAGGCGGACCCCCCCTCGTTCTTGAGGGGGATGTTCGGGTGGCCGTAGGTTTCCTTCCAGGCCAGGAGGGCCCGATGGTTCTGGATGAGGACCGGGGAGGCAAAGCCCTCCGGCGTGGTACCGGCGATCCGCCCGCCGGTTTCGGGATCGGGGGCGTACGCCAGGCCCGGGGGAAAGCTCCGGGAGTGGCGGGAGGGCTGCCGCGGCGGGGAGACGTACGCCACCGCGGCCGGAAACAGGGCGAGGGCTGTTGCTGCCAGGGCGAGGGCGGCCGTTTTCATGGTGGAGGCCGGGGTTGGTCTTGCTTTTGGTGGTCTGTTGGTTGCGGAGCGTGCCTTGGTTGGTCCAGTCGCCGGTGGAGGTTTCCAGGGACGAATTTGTGGTGTTTGTGGTTGTGGTAGTTTGTTTCGGGTGCTCTGCCGCAAGCCTTCGTCGAATGTTTTGTGGAAAGGGAGTGCCGGGAGAAAGAATAATGCCGCCGGTTCAACAGCTGCGTATTGTGGTATGTAAAGTACTGTACATTACATACTACTCGTACGTACCCGCGCTACGGTATGCTACGAGTAGCACTCGTACGAGCAGCACAAAAACCGCAGACTTCTTCGAAACCCGACAACTCATCACGAATCCTCATCATCGACGACGATCACCGCCTATCAAATCAAGAAATAAGACCCAAAAAATCCGAATGTTGTTTGGCTACGGTCGTAGCCGTATGTAAGGCATTCTACGCTACGTACCGTACCTCAAGCCCAGTCTACACTTACAGTCCTAGAAATGCAGTGTTTTGTATTTTCAGAAGCGGGCCAATCAAAAATCTCAAACGGGGAGGCATCAAAGTACGGTAAGGTACTGTACTGTACTGTACTATCGTACTGCTACTATTTTATTACTAGGACTTCTACTTCTACCGTACCCACTCCTGACTCCTATCCTGATACGGTGTTGTTCGTACGGTAGGTATGTTCGAAAAAAAAATTTCTGTTGCCAACAGCAGCAACATCACTAAACATCACACATCGCACATCAGCTTCGGATGATGTACGAACCGTACCGTAGGAACCTACGCTACGGGTAGGCTGCCGTACGATACAGTACGTACGTACCGGCCGGTACCAATACAAGTACGTACTGCACGGCATCGCACAAGATGGCCGTCAGTGCAGTCACGGCGGTGTTCTTTCTCCTCTTCTCGATGCGCGCACAAGCTCCGCGCGATTTGTAGCCGTCACAGCTGGACGTGGGTGACATCATCGTCCATCGCACCGCGCCGCATCGGAACGAAAACCCAAAAACCGCAACACTCTCGGGGATCCTACGAGTTGTACTACCAGTACTCGTACTCGTACTACTCGTACAATACTCGCAGCGACGAAGTCCCGTGTCAGGTACCTGCTCGGCCTTGGTGCCATCCCGAAACGGTGGTGTTCTTCATTTTTTGGGTTCCCTTCCGCCTCTGTTTTCCAATCATTTTTTTGAAAACCGCAACGCGGACCACGATCCCCGGCAATAGCGACAGCGATAGCGATAGCGATAGCGATCCAAGTTCCGAATCGGTAGCTACCCCCCGCTTCCCCGTTTCTTTTGCTGTATACCCGATACCCCACACAAACCCCACACCAGACCGCAACACGGCCGACACCATGACGACGGCGCGTTCCCCAGCGGGGAAACCGCCGCACCGGCTGAAGCGCCTCTCGGTGCTGGGCGTCGTTGCCGCCGCTTCCGGTTGCCCCCGGTCCGGCCTGGCCCTCCGGTCGCTGCCCCCGGTGAAAGGCGGAAGCGCCCGCTCTGGCGTTTGCGGGGTTCCCCTCCACGCCCTCCGCACGGGCGTCGAGATCCCCCTGCTCGACCTGATCGATCGGACCAGCGAAGACGGCGGCGACGACGAGCGCCGAAGCGGAGCGGACGCCGCCGCGAGCGAACAAGCCCCCCCCCGCTTCGTCGTACCCCTCCCGTCGTCGGACCTCCCGGACCAGCTCGCCACCCCCTTTCTCTACGGCATGCAGATGGACACGCCCCTGCACAAGACGATCCTGGAGGAGGCCATCTCCATGGCGGAGGCCGCTGCGATCGAATCCCCGTCGCTGCCCCTCTCGGCGCTGCCCAGGCCCTTCTACGGGCACCTGGTCTGGAAGGACGCCGAAAGCCCCTCTCTGGTGGGGGCGATCGGCTGCACGGCCGAGATCCTGGTCAACGCCCCCACCGCCGAGCTTCTCGGGGGCGGCATCCCGGGCATCGGCGGGGCGATCGAGGACGAGATGGCCAGGCTCGAAAAGGCCTTTTCGGAGTCCCCGGGTGGGGAGGATCCCGCCGGGGCCCCCCCGTCCGAGCGCAAGGACAACGACGACAACCTGACCCCGGCCTCTAACACGCTGCTCTGCCGGGGGGGATGGAGGTTCGTGGTCCGGGAGGTCGTCCGCTCCATCCCCTTTCCGGTCGCGATCGTCGACGAGATCGGGGACGACGCCGACGAGGGCGACAGCGACATGTTTTCCGCCGTCGGTGGATTCGAGAACGACGACGAGAACGACGACGAGAACGATGACGACGACGGCCTCGGGGGCATGGAAACCCCCGAGCTCATCCACCAAACGATGCGGAACGTCCAGGCCCTGCTCTCCCAGCGCCTGGAAGACGCGGCGCAAAAGACCAAGCTGGGCCCGCTCGAGAAGTCCATCCTCGAGGCCCAGGGGGGCGGGAAGGAGACCCTCCGGCTCGCCGCCATCGAGATGGCCCACGCCGAGGAGATGTCCGCCGTCTGGCAGGTCTTCCAGTCCAGCCTGGTGGACGACATCGAGCCCCACCAGCGCCGGGAGGCGGTGGCCATCATGGCGGCGGAGCTGGCCGACCTCTCCAATGCCGTTCGCAGGGAGATCCTCCTCACCCGCGACAGCGAGGAGCGGCTGCGGATCGTCCTGGGGGAGCTCCGGGAGGTCGTCGGGATGGCCCGGGCCCGCAAGCTGGCCTCCTCCATCACCGACGAATCCGACGAGAGCGAGAAGGACCTCAAGGTCGGCAAGCCACAGCTTCCCCCCTGGGCGAGGCAGATCCGCAAGGGGACCCGGATCGAGTACTTCTGGAACGAGGAGTGGGAGTGGTGCCCCGGGGTGGTGGTGGACGACCCGGTCACGATCGGGGACGAGATGCTCCTCACGATCCGCTTCGACGACGGGGAGGAGCACAAGCTCCCCCTCAGCGGCGACGACAAGCTCCGCTGGCGGCCGCAGCAGGGCTGAGGCGAACGACAACAAAACGACACGACACGACACGACACGATCTACAACGCGTGGTCCAAGAGGCAAAACGCCGGGCAAAGCTAGTTTTTTTCTTAATATAATGCAAACGGTTCGGCATCCGTAAAGGGAATGTATTCTCCTTCCGCGTAAACGCCGTGGTATACCTTCAAATCCTTCAATCGGACGCTCGACCCGCGTTTTCCAAACAGCGTGTTTCCGCCCCCGGGGAATCGTTCGTAGTAGCTCCCGAGCTTGCTCCTCGCCACCCTCGGGCTGGACTTTTCCAGGGGGATCACGAGGCTGTCGGCCCCGAACGAGGGGCCGGTCTCTGCGTGAAACAAAGTGTTCGGGGAACGGGCGGCACAGCAATGCCAGTAACAAAAGCACAGCCGCACAAACAGAAAACAAGGGACGGTGAGCGGGCAACAACAGACGCGACGATTCTTGGCGCGGGCTTCCCCCCCACGGGCGCAGCCCGCTCTCTCGTGCACTTGCTCGCTCTCGCTCGTTCGTACCTGGCAGGTCCTGCTGCGCGAGGCTCGGGCCCCCGACCTTTCGCAGCTTGGTCGGGAGCTCCGACGTCCCCTTCGTAAAGACGTACAGAAACGCCGCGATCGACCCCCGGGCCTCCCCGTAGCCGACCCATCC